GGGACTAATATAATTATATCCTTTCCATGAGGTTTAAACCATATTTGAAGTCAACTATTTTAGAAGTCACGAAAAATAAAGGGGAAGATGCATAATTATACCTCCACGACTTTTGACATCAAACTTTTTATCTCATTCTCTAAAACGACCCCACATTCATCCGCAGCGACTTAGACAAATTCGTCTACGAAGGCGGAAGAGGATTAAAAGATGTAACCATCGGGAAAGTTTTTCCCCAGAAAAAAGGACGAGAAGGTGATGTAAAGTGTCTCGGACCTAGTTTCTGCCGTCGAATGAAAAGACTTCCACTTAACGCGGTTCGCTGCATGGCGGTTTAAACGCGTCGCGACGCTTTTCAAAGGACCCAAGGCGTGAAGGAAAGTATCACGCTCGAGTCGCGTTCACCGCGACGCTTTCCTAGAAGAAGTCCTTCGCGATAAAACTGCACAGGATTCAAACAAGCTGCTACGTTTGTAGGATCAATTTCCTTAGAGACCATGTAAGTCGATTACGCAGTCAACGAGCTTAACATCTCAGAAGAGGAAATTAATGTAGCAATCTCTAACCAAGATCTTCCGATGTTCGCAAATTGGATCAGCAGTTAACCTATCTTCGCCGAATCGATTCAAGTTTGTTATATTTTAAAAAGTTTCAAATTAGAGAATGCTATCCTAGATCAAACTTTTTTGCTCCCTGAACATTCTAATCGGGTTAGGTTATCTGAATTGGTAATCATTTTGCATTACCATCTTGCTTTCTGGTTAATTATAGGAGCTCGCAAAGTGGATTTAAGGGCTTAACTTTTGTGGTGTGGTGGACGGTGGATCTGTGATGGACGGTGTGGAGATAGAATGTGAGATTTTTAAGATTTTGGAGGATTTGAGAGGGTGGGATTTTAGGTTTTTTGGGATTTAGGTGTTTGGGGATTTAGGGAGGTGGAAATTATGGAATTTGGGAATTTGGGAATTTGGGACTTTTGGAATTTAGGACTTTTGCAATTTGGGACTTTGGGAGTTTGGGACTTTGGGAATATGGGACTTTAGGAATTTAGGAGCTTGGAAATTTGGGTTCTTGGAAATTTGGGACCTTGGGAATTCGGGAGCTTGGAAATTTGGGACCTTGGGAATTCGGGTCCTTGGAAATTTGGGACCTTGGGAATTCGGGAGCTTGGGAATTTGGGAGCTTGGGAATTTGGGTCCTTGGAAATTTGGGACCTTGGGAATTCGGGAGCTTGGGAATTTGGGAGCTTGGGAATTTGGGTCCTTGGAAATTTGGGACCTTGGGAATTCGGGAGCTTGGGAATTTGGGAGCTTGGGAATTTGGGTCCTTGGAAATTTGGGACCTTGGGAATTCGGGAGCTTGGGAATTTGGGAGCTTGGGAATTTGGGTCCTTGGAAATTTGGGACCTTGGGAATTCGGGAGCTTGGGAATTTGGGAGCTTGGGAATTTGGGTCCTTGGAAATTTGGGACCTTGGGAATTCGGGAGCTTGGGAATTTGGGAGCTTGGGAATTTGGGTCCTTGGAAATTTGGGACCTTGGGAATTCGGGAGCTTGGGAATTTGGGAGCTTGGGAATTTGGGTCCTTGGAAATTTGGGACCTTGGGAATTCGGGAGCTTGGGAATATGGGACTTTAGGAATTTAGGAGCTTGGAAATTTGGGTTCTTGGAAATTTGGGACCTTGGGAATTCGGGAGCTTGGAAATTTGGGACCTTGGGAATTCGGAAGCTTGGAAATTTGGGTCCTTGGAAATTTGGGACCTTGGGAATTCGGGAGCTTGAGAATTTGGGTCCTTGGAAATTTGGGACCTTGGGAATTCGGAAGCTTGGGAATTTGGGAGCTTGGGAATTTGGGTCCTTGGAAATTTGAGACCTTGGGAATTCGGGAGCTTGGGAATATGGGACTTTAGGAATTTAGGAGCTTGGGAATTTGGGTCCTTGGAAATTTGGGACCTTGGGAATTCGAGAGCTTGGAAATTTGGGACCTTGGGAATTCGGGAGCTTGGGAATTTGGGACTCTGGGAATTTGAGAGCTTGGGAATTTGGGTTCTTGGAAATTTGGGACCTTGGGAATTCGGAAGCTTGGGAATTTGGGACTCTGGGAATTTGAGAGCTTGGGAATTTGGGTTCTTGGAAATTTGGAACCTTGGGAATTTGGGAGTTTGGGAATTTGGGTCCTTGAAAATTTGGGACCTTGGGAATTCGGAAGCTTGAGAATTTGGGACTCTAGGAACTTGGTACCTTGAGAATTTTAAACTTTGATCATTTGTTACTGTAGTAATTTGATAATTTCTTAATTTCCTAATGTCCTAATTTCCTAATTTCCTAACCTCCTAATTTCCTACTTTCTTAATTTCCTAATTTCCTAACCTCATAATTTCCTACCTTCTTAATTTTCTAATTTCCCAACCTCCTAATTTCCCACCTTCTTATTTTCCAAATTTCCCACTTTAATAACCCACTACTTTCATAACCCCTCACCCTATAATTTCCAAAATCTAAAAATTCTTAAACTAGAAACTTTTATACCATCAAAATAACCCCAAAAATGTCCCAAAATTGTTTTAAAAACCATTCTGTTATCTTCAGTTCAAGCTCTATCAATCGAGCAACAGTACACATTCGTGGGACAAATTCGTGCGCATGCGAGAATTAATTGGAATTGGTCAGAAAACGTCGGAACAACATGTATGTGGCTCTTTTGTAAACGCTTGACGAGCTCGCGAATGCTGGTTGCGTTGCTTTGTACGCTTTGGAACAAAATCTGTCGTTTGTTATTCCTTATCTGACAATTATTATTAACGTTTGTATTCAAACGGGGTTCGATACGACTTGACGAACGAAACAAAGAGACGTCCTCGATCACTCGATTCGCTTAATCATTCCTACGTCCATGTTTCTTATGTTTCTTTCAATTTTTATGGATTCGGTTTACCTCGTGAAAACATTGCATTTTATGATGTTTATGTGAAGTTTTTTAAAATCTTTCTATCATCTTTATTTAAACAAGAATTTCTGTTAAGGGTGGATTTTATGTTTCACATAAATTTTCACTATATTTTCAGTGTCAGAAATTTATTACGAGGAGTTTGTATATTTGAAACATTGACTGTCATGACGAAAATAATAGTGACTAATACAATTTGTTATAATATTGATAACAATAGAGGTTATTCTAATAAATTTAAACATTTGCTATATTTCAACCCTTCAACAGCAGATGAGTTTTATAAATGACGTACAAAAATTATAACCAGATACATAAACAACAAATTAATAAATGTAATTCTAATAAAATAAAAGACTTGTCAGATCAGACAAAAATTCTGAGCACTAAATTATATTCATAATATAATTAATTCTTTGAAACATGCTAAGAAATGCATACCACATTTTTCATAAAATATATGAAGTTGTACTATGATTTATTAAAAATGATCTATTTATTCTGACAAAATGAACTATTTGTTTATTCTTAATAAATGTGTATTTAATACAATCCTGATACAAAAGGTACTAAAAAATAATACTTTTTAAAATTAATTTTATTTATATTACTATTGTATTTTATGATCTGCATCGATGAAATGTTGAAGGGGTTTAAAAGCTTCCTCCACAAAAAACCAAGTTGACGTCACGACAGTAACAATCACAAATTCGTGACAAATACACGTACACAATCCACGTCACCGGAAATGTAAAGCTTCCATAGTCCACCAAAAGTCTCTCGCGAAGATTTGTTTTCTTTAACGGATCGCTGCTTCTCACGTAGCGGCAGTAAGTTATGTATGCGCATAAGAATGCAAGCTACCGTCATCGGGGCTTTATATTTCGCCAAGGCGAACGTGTGCCGAAAATTTCAACGCGCGGAAACACGAATCAGAACAGCTATGAATCCTCCTCGTCACAAAACAGCACGGTTGAGCATCGACATCCTCAATAAACATGATCTCTATATTCCACAAATATTTGCATCTTTAATTAATTTCTATTTGCATATATTTTTGCTTCATTTAGTTAGAATTGTATTATTGGTGTCGTGTTTCATTTCATGGTAATTGCGTGTCTTTATCTTGTTTGTAATTTCAGTAGATGTGTTAATGATGAGGATTCAAATTACGTTGTAATGGTGGTTATTATCAAGCTTCGTGCTTATTCTGATAGGGAAATTGAGATCGTAAATTTTGTAGTAAGTAATGAGAGTGTAGGGGAAAGGGTCAGTTGGAAGAATTCATATGTGTTTGGAAGTTTGGAAATTTTTTAGGGACACAAGGGGGAAGAGTTTTCGATTTTTTAATTTCAAAAGTTGCAATTTCATATCCCCGAATTCTTAATTTCCCAATTTCTTTAAATTTCAATTTCCAGGCCCCTAATTCCAAATTCTCCAATTCCCATATCCCCTAATTCCAAATTCTCAAATTCCCACATCCCCTAGTTCCAAATTCCCCAATTCCCACATCCCCTAATTCCAAATTCCCCAATTCCCACATCCCCTAATTCCAAATTCCCAAATTCCCACATCCCCAATTCCCATATCCACTAATTCCAAATTCCCCAATTCCCACATCCCCTAATTCCAAATTCCCCAATTCCCACATCCCCTAATTCCAAATTCCCCAATTCCCACATCCCCTAATTCCAAATCCCCCAAATTCCATATCCCCTAATTCCAAATCCCCCAAATCCCACATCCCTTAATTCCAAATTCTCCAATTTCTATATTCCCAAATTCCAAATTTCAAATTCCCCATCTCCTACATCCTCAAGTTCCAAATCCCCAACTCCCATACCTCTAATTCCAAATTCCCAATTTCATACGCTCCAATTCCTCCACCTCCAAAACCTCAATTTCGAAAGATCCATATTTCCACCCCCCAAATCCTTTCCCATCTAAAATCTCCCCAAAATTCCCAACGAATCCCCTTCTTATAACTGCAAAACCCCCAATAAGCAAACCCCAATTGCATCCTATTTCCCCAAAATAATAAAAGAAACAAACATACCCGAAATGCATCCCTCAGCTCCTGTTCCTCCTGATCTTGGTCCGTAGGGGCGGTTTCACTAGCACCGATGTTGCTCACGATTTCCACGAACTCTTCGAAGCTGACGTTCCCGTCTCCTGCAAATCCAGCATATATCCATAAACAATAAATTTACATAATTTAAATGACCGAAGATTACGAGAACAGGAGGATATCCTATGACTTTTAAGCGGATAGGTTCCCACAGGTCCAAGAACAGAGACCGCAGGGACACCGAAGGATTAACGAAGTTTCAGACTATGCCATAAGCTCAACGTACTCGAACAAAATCTACTTTCCCGCTTCTTTGTGCTTCCCTCGTGGAAATCCGGTTTCCCGTTATTTGCATATTTCCCTCCCGTTCTTGTGCAACGCGAAAAGGGACAAAATATAAGTCAAAGGAGGATTCACCGGCTAAGGAACTCTACGCTAATTCTCGTGGGAATCGGAATCGAAGATGTCTGTTAAAATACACGAGATTCTAACGTTTCCACGAAAGCAACAATTTTCTGAACAACCGTTTCTAACAAAGTTGCGATAACTTCGTCGTAACTTCCTTTGAATAAGCACTAGTTTCGACAAGAAAGCCGTCGAATCGAACATGAATGTTGTCTTGACCCACGTACTTCGATGACATTTCTAATATACGACGAAAAATAGGTACTTCGGAACTGCTCGTTTATCTGCAGTGACAGGAAAATAAGTTACCAAAGTTTGGTACGGAGAAAGAGTTACACAGAACCTTGAAGTGTTTTGATATCAAAAATAGAGCTTCTTTTTATTTCTTGTTAAATTGTGCAAATTGTACGAAGGGAATTGTAGTTGGTTTTCGTAAACAAAATGGCGGCACAGAGGAAGTAGGTTCTCGTAAACAAAATGGCGGCACAGGACCTGCAAGGCAACTTTAACTTTCGAGGTTAAGTAGTTTTCTACATTTCCAAATTCCTAAATTCTCGAAACCCTAAATTTTTCACGGTTGGTTAGGTTTTCGTAAACAAAATGGCGGCACGGAGGAAATAGGTTTTCGTGAACAAAATGGCGGCGCAGGACCTGCAAGGCAACTTTAACTTTCGAGGTTAGGAAGTTTTCTGCATTTCCAAATTCCTAAATTCCCAAAACCCTAAATTTTTCACGGTTGGTTAGGTTTTCGTAAACAAAATGGCGGCACGGAGGAAATAGGTTTTCGTAAACAAAATGGCGGCGCAGAACCTGCAAGGCAACTTTAACTTTCGAGGTTAGGAAGTTTCTTGCATTTTTAAATTCCTAAATTCCCAAAATCTCAAATCTTTGATCTCAAAAATCTTCAAATCTTGTAAGTTTATGAAACATTTTGAAAATCGTGGCATTTTTCCCAGCACCTTGAACGGATTTTATCTCGCATGAGCGTCGGCTTAGTCGCGATTATTCTCGCATCAACAGGGATTTTCTTCGTGCCTATATATAAAGCGTGGGTAATCGCGTGTTTAACGCTCCACGTCGTTCGTGTATCCGCGTAAACTAATGCACGCCAAGCTATCGGCTTGTACAGTGATAAGCAGCGTACGTTTGTTTCTCGAACGATTAAACGTCGCCGCGTGAAGAATCGGTAGCCAACGTATCCTTCGTCTGCTTGTCAACATATTGGCTTAACGGACCGTGATAACAGCCTGCATTCTTTCTTTCGAGAGCCTTCGTGATACAAGAATTTGCCGAAAAATCATCTCCAAAATTACTTCCATCAAAATTCAATGAAATTCAGATGCCAGAACTTGTTCAAAATTAGACAAGAACTAAAATTGAACTTGAACCTTTCAAAATTACTTGCCTATTAATAGTTAAAAGTTTAGTTGTTAATAACCAAAATAATTATCAATCATCAGCAAATATGGGATGTTACTTAAGATTTCTGTTCTAAGAGTAACAATTCCAGCCCGTTAGTGAACTGATAGTATTAACGAATGTATGAAACTTATAATTGGTTTAATGTTACGAGGTTACTATCAAGGGAGCACGAAACACATGTAGACGGGATAGGGGTAGTCTGACTGCGGTAATAACGGTTTTGCAAGCAGTGGAGTCAGGATTACTTTTGTAGGGTAAACTATGTGACACTTGGTCGCTTCGGTGTTCCGTTTATTCGGACACTCACGCAATACACATATGCATATCACGAGAGCTCTTGCTATAGGTATCCGGATTTCGGCCGGTGAATTCCGAGGAGACTGAGTTAGAGTAACCAGAGCAACCGCGCCACTTCGGAATCTCTCGACGCATCTTGAAGAGGCGGCCTGTGCATAACTTGGCAACTTCATCGACAAAGGCCGGCCTAGAAAGGGTCGCTAAACGTGCTCGTCTACGAAATTACACGCAACACCTGTTAATTCTGCTGGTCCAACAATAAATCTCGAAAATAAACGCTTGGGGATAAATTTGGACAAGCGCTTGTTTGTCTAAAAATACGCGGATTTATTTGAACTCGTAAATTGATCAAATAAGGAACAATAAAAATGGAATAAAACGAAATGACGAGCTCGATGTTTTATCGAGCGGAAGGATTACTTCGCAGATGCGGAAACTGAATCCAAGCAAGTACGCGTAAGCATAAACCGGGCTAAATAAACCGCAGTTGGACGTGTCAGAAGAAAAACGGGGAAATAGTGGAGGGACTGTAGCAAGGGAGTTGTCGAACGAGACCATCGAATACCCGTTTCGTTCAGTTCGTTTAAAACTTTGATTGCGGAAAAGGCGTTATTGCCGTATCGATGACCAGGATCGTGTTCTAAAATGTTGAGTTGTTTTGCCACCTTTTTCAAACCGTTATTGGATAAATGGTGATCTTTTGAAATTACTTTATCAATTTTGATCAATGGTTTTGTCATTGAATATTTACTAACAAAATTGTGAACGAGACTTCTGACGTTCATTGACATCACGTCACTTCATAATTATGCAAACGAAGCTTAAAATTATGTGCATTAAAATTTATTAAAATTGAATTATGCACGTTAAAATGTATGTTAATGGAAACTTCTTGTTATACTGTTAATTGTACGTTTTTCAGCTCAGAGGTATTATGCAGATTTATACATATTTTTCATGAAATCACTTTGGAAATAAAAGCGTTAAGTCGAATATTAAAATTATTTTCATTGCAAGCTGATTGCACTTTGTAGGTGTAACGATTTAATTTAATAATCTAACACGTGAAAATTCATTTAACGTACGGATATCGTATGAAAATCTAATGTGTGGAAATCTAACGCATACTTATCTAAGGTGTAGACACATAACACCAGGTGATCAAACATTCTACAATAACGTCGTCACATTTCAAAACACACGCTGGTCCAGCGATTATATAAATGATGGTCACATAGCTAACCTTCACATACTGAACATAACCTATGGACATCATATGAAAATCTAATATGTGGAAATCTAACGCATACTAATCTAAGGTGTAGATACCTAACACCAGGTGATCTAACGTTCTACAATGACATCGTTAATTACATATGAAAATGCACGGTGGTCCAGCGGTTATATAAATGGTGGTCACATAGTTAACCTCCATATACTGAACATAACCTATGGACATCATATGAAAATCTAATGTGTGGAAATCTAACGCATACTAATCTAAGGTGTAGATACCTAACACCAGGTGATCTAACATTCTACAATAACGTCGTCATATTTGAAAACACACGCTGGTCCAGCAGTTATATAAATGAAGGTCACATAACTAACCTTCACATACAGTAATCCACCCCAAAGTTTGAAAAAAAAATAGCTTTATTATTTCGTACACGATTTGTTCCGAGTTATATCAATTTATGGAGGGTAATCGTGAGGAACAGATGGATTTACGAGAAGTTTGTTGGTTCATTACAGCACGGGTCTTGTTTCAGATTCGAGTTTCGGTTCACTTGGTCGATTTCTCTCGTACCTAGAGGCCGTTCCTTCGTTGCTTGGCATTCCGTCGCGAATCGCGTTACGTTGATTGCATTCACGACGACCTTTGTTACTGTTCCAGCTTTCTCACGCGTCGTTTATTACGTTATCACGGCAGAATCGAAAGTTGGCGATGAATGAACAGTTCGAGCGGAATTTCGTGTGCATTCAAGACGCGTCTCGTTGTAAAACGATACGTCTCGCAGCGTAATTGCGACGGATTTCATTTTGCGAGTAAACGATACTTTAAAAGCTAGTTGACACCGAGTTTCAAGATCCTCGGATCTGACTCGTTCAAATAAAATGCTCGGAAACTGAAATTCGAGTTACTAGTCGCAGATAACGGAGGCGTCTCAGTTGGTCGATGTTTCCTGTTGTGCGCTCGCGAAACGGAACTTCCAACAATGCCGGATGCGTTCTGCTCGAATTAAAAACGAGAATCAAGGATGAAAACAACAGCTGTTCACACAGCGAGTAAATCCCTGTCAAAAACAAAAATTGCAGATAGAAATAGACAGAAACAAGGCCAGCCACGTAAACAGCGAACGGAAGCCCGTTCGAATTTCCTGCTGCAATTTTATCGTGTCTTCCACGCCGCGTATTTAAATATTTCGCGGCGTTTTTGTGCCTCGAAACTCGCGCGAAACACATGGAAAACAGCTCGATTCTTTGATCCGTGAATTACCGTCATCCCAATTTCGCAATATTTTCGCTCCCGGAATTTAATATCGCGAATCAAAGCGACGTTTTATTGAAAGGTATCGCGAGAAATTTGTCGATAACGCACGATTACACCGCGTTAAAGGAGCGGAAGACAAACGCAACAGGAGAAACAGAAAAGGTTCGTAACCCGAGGGTCCCGACGTTTCGCTGGCACTCGCGTTTCAAACGGAACGTAGACGAGCGAATTAGCGAGAGCCGTCGATAGTCCAATTCACGGCTGAAAACACGATGATTGAATAAACGACGAGCCTCTCCTTGGCAATTTCATGCGCGAGCTTTCCGCTTCAAAGCTCGCTCGGTACACATATTTCAAAGGGGCGCATTCCGCGCGAGGCGTATTATGTTCCGTGACTTCTCTCTCTTTGTCTGGCCTCTATCCCACTTCCGGAGAATCCGAAACTGCTTTGTTCGCATCGATATCACGGTTATCACGCATATTTGCTAAACGCATAGGTTGAATCATTGACTGATCATCTACTGTTTTAACTCCTGATGTATCGATCCAACAAAATTTCACCAGTTCGTTATACCATGATCTGACGTCTCCATATGATCTTTGTATCACATCGTCACACATTGCATTTTTATATATGGTAATTATTTATGTGGTATATTGTTGCGTATGTCCACATATGTATCACATCGTCACGCGTTGCATTTTTATATATGGTAATTATTTATGTGTTACATTTCTGCATATGTCCACATATGTATCACATCGTCAAAAATTGCAGTTTTATGTGGTAATTATTCATATGTTACATTTCTGCATATATCCACATATGTATCACATCCTCACGCGTTGCATTTTTATATATGGTAATTATTTATGTGTTACATTTCTGCATATGTCCACATATGTATCACATCGTCAAAAATTGCAGTTTTATGTGGTAATTATTCATATGTTACATTTCTGCATATGTCCACATATGTATCACATCATCACACGTCGCATTTTTATATATAGTAATTATTCATATGTTACATTTCTGCATATGTCCACATATGTATCACATCGTCACACGTTGCATTTTTATATACAGGTAATTATTCATACGTTACATTTTTGCATATATCCACATATGTGCCTATCTTCAAGTATTGCACTTTTCAAAGTTCCATTTAAAAATCCCAACTTCCCAATTCTAAAATCATAAATTTCCAGAGTCCCAAACTTTTAACCCTCGTGAAGAAATTTAAATACCATAGCCATTTCTATTGAAGTAAAATACTTCCTCGAAATAATAAACATGTGAATGGTAAAAGTACTAATCTCCACAGAAAAAAAAAGATACATATCAATGATTCCATCGAACCGATTACTTTTTGCGAAATTACTGGAACGTCTAAACACCCACGTAACGTGGTATCGCAGAGTCGAATTCGCAGGCTGTCGTCGTCAATCGAGACTCGTGTTTACCGCGCGTAAAATTCTCCCTCTCTATGTGCATCGAACGACTCCCAGGACGGTTGGTATATATCTACTCTGCTCGTGAAAGGTTTCATCGCGATGACAGGATTTTTATCAATTCCACGATCCACACACGGTGGATTACCGCGTTTCCGCGTCCACGGATAATTTCGTTATTTAATTACCCACGAAACCGACCGATTTCTGCAACGTCTAATTACTCTCGTAATCGTGAAATCACTTGATATCAGAAATCCTGAAAGCACAAGACTCTTGGCAACATCGGTAGAAGCATATGTTTGCATGTGATGAAGAGAGACAACATAGGTGAAAAGGGGTAGTTTTGAAAAATATTGGAATTATAGGTAGACAAGAAGACATAAATGAGCAAATGAAATCTCCACATTGCCAAAAATAGTAATGGATGTGAAGAGAGAATTTACTGTATAAATTCACCCTGACCCCCATCCAGCGTATCAATGCCAAATGTCTTACAGAGCGAATTAATTACCACAGAAACTCTGTGAAAATAGTTGCTCATTAAAAACGTAGCAAAAGGAAATCGATGAAAGCGGCGTCGAATAGATGAAGGTTAATGTCATTGAAACGGTGTCGACGAATACAGTTGAAAAGTGTGTTGATCAATCGAGGCAGACTCGTTCGCGCGACCGTGGGACGGTTTCGGTTTCCGATACTAAAACCCGTAGCCGATGGACGAGTAATTAGAAGCAGCCACGAAGCAGCGCGCGAAACGAGACCGACGTATGTCTACGTAATCGGGACTCGATGCACCTCGATGAATAACACGTCCGTCCACTCGCGCGCGTGTGCGTGCATCAAATAAAAAGAACCGTGTTCGCGTACACACAACGTGGCAAGAACAAAAACCGAAGGAAAAACAAGAAGCAAAAAAAATGCATATTGCGGTACCACCGATGGCGCATTCATAGAAAACGTTCCGATGCAACAACCACCGTCGTTTGAATACGCTCTCTAGCGATAGGGAATTGCCGTGACTTGGCCGAGCCAACAAACCAACAGTCTATTCGCATGATGGCGTGTAACACGCGTGTATAGGTCGCCGGTTTCGCTGCGTCGAATGCCAATCGAACGGAGTTACGACGTGGTATTTAGCCGGAAGTTCCGGCCGGTCGATCGTCAACAGGAGTCTGATGACTCGAAGGCGAAGCCTGACCGGGATACATGCTGCACGGAGAAATGAGCCGTGAATTGATTTTCAACCGATACAGACGTTTGATATATGCGCTCTCTTTGTTCTCTTTCGGGAATAAGCAATTCGGTGAATTGGAGACAGATGGATAGGGAAGGTTCGATAAATAGGGTTGCAATGTGACGAAATTGCACTGAGTTAATTGGGAAGTTTAGGATTTTGGAAGAATCAGAGTTGAAAATTTAGGTGGTTGGATTTTGTAATTTGGGAGTTGGTATTTAGGTTTTTAGATCTTTAAGGATTATGTCATCTGAGAGTTGGGTGTTTAGGTACTTAAAACTTTAGTATTATCTTGAGAGTTGTGGGACTTAGATATCTAGAACTTTGACAGTTCTGTTGAGAATTTTTTAAATTAAAAAAAATGTTTAAACTTAAGTGTTTGAATGTTTGAGAACGTAGTTCAGAAATGGAGGGATTAAAAAAGATCTCTGAAAATTGAAGTCAGTACAGGTGTACTTCTTCAGAAATATCAACAGTTTCATCTCGGTACAAGGAATTAATGTCCTAGGAATTAGCAACAGGTTCCACGGCAAATTCGCAAGCTGGCTGTTCATATATCTCCTTAATCTCCATATCTTTCACTTAACAGCGCAATGGAAAATAATGACAGCAATTTAATTCGTACCCAAACCGTCTTATCCTTAACAAGCATCTGAAAGTTCTAGCAACGGTCGGGTTAAGAAGATTTCGGTCACGATACCGCTCGATTGGTCGTCGTTAACAATGGAAATTTTCGCCCGGTGGTTGGCCAAGATTTTCCCGGCAATTTTCTCATGGCTGACAAACCACGTCTGGCCTCGCGAGGATACCTAAAAGGGGGAATCGAAGGTAAAGGTGGGGTGGTTTCTGCCTTAATAAAGAGGTTCCCCCATTGTCAGACGGCAGAACACTCGGCGAAAATTACCCGCAATTAAGGCGATGCCTCCGGGCAGAAAGGCTGTAAGTGGGCCAACCTGGTTACACGGGCGAATAGGTAAACTGGGGATCCTTTCGCTAACAACAAACCACCATGGTTGCCACCTTGTTTCGCCGAACTGCAGCCATCTCGTAAACTTGACGAACGAAACGATTTACGTTCTGAACCGTGGCGGACTTTATTCGAACGCGCTAATGAATTTAGCCGGCCGCGGTCGGGGCGGTGTTACGAATTTTAACGAGCAGTGCCCGATCGCCTCGTTCGCTACGTTTTAATGGCAGCGTTGAATATTAATGGGAAATTCTCGATTGACGCCGCGATAATTTTCCAGGAATTTCGACGCGCATATTCGTTCTGACGCTTTTCCGTTTCCGTTGCAATGAGAACGAAAAAATTCGCGTTGTTGTGTACGATTGTTGGAAATGAACGGAAGCCGGCTAATAACGTTTCTTTCGATTGATACGCTGCGTTTAATCTTCCGGGCATTCAATGTAGTGCGATAATGAAATTTCGAGGGGAGGTGATAAATCGAGCTTGAGAGGAAATCTGAATTAGAACTTATTAGTTTCTTAATGTTGACGTTCTAAATTTTATTTAGAAATTTAAGAATTTGGGAATTTAGGGATTTCTAAAGAAAATGTAGGAATTTGAGAAGTTTCTGCAGTTAATAAAATTTAATAATTTATTTATTTAACCTGTTAAGATATTTGGTGGAGAAGTGCACGAACTCACCGTCGATGTCGATCTCTTGCAGCATCGTGTGCAACTCTTCTGCCCTTGCGAACTGTCCGAGCGAGCGCATCACTCTGCCAAGTTCCTCTTTCGTGATACTTCCATCCCCATCCTTGTCGAATAGCCTGAAAGCCTCTCTGAATTCTGCAACAAATAAATTACGGATATCTTTCAACAACAATTCTATGGCTGTAATTTTATCGAATAATTTATAGAACATACGTAACAACACATTGTTAGCTCACAAATTAATTTTGAAACTCCTATTCTGACCAGTCCATTTTCTCACGAATATGTGAAAGAGGAAGTAGCATCGGTGAAACTTCCTTCCGGTCTTAATGCGTTCCTCTTTACAGACGGAGATAAATGTGGAACTGAGAGAAATCGTATTTTGAGGACACTTACCTAATTTTTTTGAAGGGGGTGTCGGGGAGATAAGACGGAGAAATGGTGCAATAAAATTTTCAAGTATTCACTTTTTCGAAGACTGAATTTTTAGGTTCCTAAATTTTTGGATCTTCAAATTTTTTAGGTCTGAACTTCACAGTTTCTAGGTCTGGAAATTTAACTTTTAAATCTGCCAAGTTCCAAATTCCTCAAGGTCGAAGTCCATTAATTGCAAATTCCTTAAATTCTAAACCCTCTGGTTCACAAATTCTTCTTTCCACTCTTCAACTTCCAAATTTTGCAACCCCCAAATTCCTCAACTCCCAAATCCTCCAGTTTCCAAATTCCTCAAATTCTAAACCCTCTGGTTCCCAAATTCTTCTTCCCACTCTTCAACTTCCAAATTTTGCAACCCCCAAATTCCTCAACTCCCAAATCCTCCAGTTTCCAAATTCCTCAACTTCCAACTTCTCTAATTTCTAAATTCTTCTTCCCACTTTTCAACTTCCAAATTTTGCAACCCCCAAATTCCTCAACTCCCAAATCCTCCAATTTCCGAATTCCTCAGCTTCCAAATCCTCCAATTCCCAAATTCCTCAACTTGCAACTTCTCTAATTTCTAAATTCCTCAATTTCCAAATCATTCAACCCCCAAACTCCTCAACTTCCAAATCCTCTAATTTCCAAATTTCTCATCTCCCAACTCCTCCAGTTCCCAAATTCCTCAACGTCCAACTCCTCCAATTTCCAAATTCCTCAAATTCTAAATTCTCTGGTTCCCAAACCCTTCTTCCCACTCTTCAACTTCCAAATTTTGCAACCCCCAAATTCCTCAACTCCCAAATCCTCCAGTTTCCAAATTCCTCAGCTTCCAAATCCTCCAATTCCCAAATTCCTCAACTAGCAACTTCCCTAATTTCTAAATTCCTCAATTTCCAAATTATTCAACCCCCAAACTCCTCAACTTCCAAATCCTCTAATTTCTCATCTCCCAACTCCTCCAGTTCCCAAATTCCTCAACTTCCAACTCCTCCAATACCCCAAACTCTCTACTTCCCCACCCAAACCTCTACACCCAAACTTCCACCCTCCAAAAATCCCAATTGCCCAAATTTCTCCCAAGTATCAATAAAAATCCCCACCTCCAATTACCCAGAGGTGGTCAAATTCGACGATAACGCAGCAGAACTGCATCTAATTACAAATAGCAAAATCACAGGTTCTCGACTCCGATGAATGGGGCTTCCACCTGGGCGATCGCCCGAAGAAATCGTAAAACTCGTTCACCGTCTACTACCGCTTTCTTCTTTCTGAAGAAGATCGTTCGAGCTGATTAAACGTCCCGGTCGATAACATTCCGTGATGTTTGATACCCGCAGCGACGAGGAGAGACAAGCACGGACTTGGATCGTCGGTGCTTGACTCGACCGTTTAATAGCCTCGTTTCACGGCCCATTGATTTTGTACGTACCGCCGGCTATGGTTTTCCTATAAGCACATTCTGCACCACGGCATATCCGCGTGCTATTGTACCTCGGCCAACGGCGAACACTGCGAGAAAGATGGAGGGAAGAACCAGCCACGATTTTTGCGCTAATGGGTAACGACGTAGAAAAAAGATTGCGGGAAGAAGCGTCGACAAATAGATTCTGCTTAACCCAGTTACGGGTTTGCGGTTTTTTTCTTTTCCTTTTTTTCTTCATCGACCTCGAGAAAGACGTATACCACGCAGCAATAATGTAAGACCGTTTAAGGAACGGGGGTGGTTCGACTTGGGATGCAGCTCACGATTGCTCTTCTGAGATTGTGCTTCGAAAGCCATCTTACAGCGACTTACGAGGGTTCAACTATTAATACTGAGTGGTTACTGAAAGATACGCTTCTTGAGGGATAATGACACGGATTCGTTCATTTACATTTTGTTCATTTACATATTTAGCTTATCTGTATGAAATAATAAATATAATATATCTAGCAAGATGTGAATATATCTTTAATTGTCAAAATTTTTGAAACTCGACCTTCTTTCTAGACTTTTAAGTATCTAATTTTTCAAGCCCCGGAAAATATCTAAATTTCTAATATCAAGTAGGACAATCAGCTTCTGACAATAGAAGCTTAAAAAATGTCGATGAAATCAAGAGAACTTCGACTAATCGAATCACGGAAGTCCAACCGAAGCTTCACAGATTTAATCAGTGATTTACTTCAGTAGTTCAATCAGCGACTATTCACGTTATAATTCCGGAAACAGTGACTGTTCGATGATCAATTTTCACTGATTCGGATAGCAACAGAAAAAAATTACGATATCGCAGAAGTTCTCTCTCGTAGTTTTCACGGAAATGTCATTAATCAACCGATATATCGTTGAAATTAACCCCAATCCAGGCTGCAACTAGATTTCGAGCGTTCCGAGCGCGGAAATTCCGAGCGGGACGAACTTTTTTAACGAACGAAACTTAAGTCACACACGACGCGTATATTCCTTTGCAGAAAAAGGTGGTCGTGTTCCGCCGTTTCGCGTTTCCAACACGGGTCGAGATTTTTCTTTGATTCGGATTCCGTTTGCGACGGGACTTTTTTGCTCTTCACCCTGCTCGGAGGACGTTTTTATACTTGTAAAAGCTGGCGTACTCCTCGAAGGACTGATCGCTGTATTTTTCCTATTTTTTTTCTTTTTTATTTCAGAGCGATTCAGTTGAAACATCGACGATCGCTGTCAAAAGCAGACATAGAGACTGCTTCGAGCTAGGGAAATAGTGTCGCGGGAAATTGTATCGTTTAAAACTGACGTTGCGTCAAAAGGCTGTCATTGATTGTCAGATAGACAGTCTCATTTAGAAATTTTTTTTTAATTTATGTTGAAGGAATAATATGTGTAGCTGATCACTGTATATTTTAATGTCTGACTCCCTCAATTGTGACTCAGTTATGAATATTTTGTTCAGCAAGAAAAATCTTCAACTTAATTTATTAGTAAATCAATGTCACAGGATTTGAGCAAAAGAAATTATGTTGAAGTTTCTTGCTGAACACAATGTTCATATTTAGTAACGAATAATATGTGTACCTGATCACTGTATATTTTAATGTCTGTCTCCCTCAATTGTGACTAAATTATGAACATTTTGTTCAGCAAGAAAAATCTTCAACATAATTTATTATTAAATCAGTGTCACAGGATTTGAGCAAAAGAAATTATTTTGAAGTTTCTTGCTGAACAAAATGTTCATATTTAGTAACGAATATGTGTACCTGATCAGTGTACATTTTAATGTCTGTCTCCTTCAATTGTGACTAAGTTATGAACATTTTGTTCAGCAAGAAAAATCTTCAACATAATTTATTAGTAAATCAGTGTCACAGAATTTGAACAAAAGAAATTAACAGTAATGAACAATTACGATTTTTGGAACTTAAAATAGAGTACAGTGAATATAACAATAAGTAGACTATTTTTACTCCAAAATTCCTAAAAGTACAAATAGCAGAATTTATAAATTCTCCAATTGTCAAAAGCCGAATTTTCAGTTTGGCCAAACGCGATGATTATTATATTAATTACAGAAAATGAGCGGAGAGCCTACACTGAAATATGGAACAGTGGTATTCTAATTACGGTAGAATTTCGATAACTCGACGTGCTTGGAAGTTTGGCAATGTTGGATTGTCAGTTATGCAGAATTATATTTACAGTATTGAAAAATTATAGTCGAAGAATTAATTTAATTCTCTAATTACTCGAGTAAACATCGATGATCCCCATCGCGGTCGACGTGTTAATACAATATACGGTATCGAAACAAATACGGTAACCCGTGATTAAATTCTATTGATTTAACCGCTAACAATAACCGATAGTAATAATGATACATTGTACCTATTGCATAGGTAATAACAAGAGGCTGAACATGAATCATAATAATTGAATCTCCTATATTAAATTTGCCTATATTCCGATATAATGTTATAACTAAATCTAAGCGTGTTATTAAAAAACGATTCTGTCAGAGATTCAATTAAACGGTAAATTATACGACAAACGTGAAGCGTTTGACACGATTAATTGAAACGATATATCGATTCACTTTTGAATGATTTGTCGCAGCTTGTTTCGCGTAAACGCTTTGAAAAGCAATTTTACGAGGAATGTCCCGTGCATTCGCGCGAAACGTCACTGTCGCTCGAAACCGAACACGGAACGAAACTTGTGAACGAACGTTGTTAAGCTGTGTCACGTTAAACGCGAACGGAAACTTTACCCTCCCTGTAATGTCGTTCTTTTACACTTGGACAGGAACTGATTCTTCGTTACGTTCACTTGTAACCATTAATTTCAACGAGAAGTTACTTCGAAATAATTCACGGGATTCGAGACTCCGTTCACCTTTTTCCACGCTTGCAAAGTAATCTGAACGCCGGCTACTTTTTACTTCGCTATTTAACTCGATTTTTCCTCGGCTTTGCGCTACTTTCAAAGTATTTTATCACTGCGAATCCTTCGAGCGCCGGGACAACGATAAGTCAAACTTAATTTTAAGATGCGTCTCAAAGGTACTCAAACTAATGGAATAAAATATGAGGATCCAGGATTCTCAAATCAAAATGTATGTCAGAGATCGCTCAACTGTCTCAGGACTGTATTCAAGATTTCGGACTTTAAGCTAATATTATCAAATAAAAAATGCGCTAAGAAGGTTCAATGACTACCCATACATTCACATTGTATACCTCTACATCATATTTATACTTGTTTAAAAAATTTCAGTAAGCCTGTTTAGCTTGTTAAGCTTGTTTAGAAAATTTCACTGTATCATATTATATATCCCTACATTATATCTAAGCTTGTTTAGAAAATTTCACTATATCATATTATATATATCTACACCATATTTATACTTGTTTAAAAAATTTCAGTAAGCCTGTTTAGCTTGTTAAGCTTGTTTAGAAAATTTCACTATATTATATTATATATCTCTACATTATATCTAAGCTTGTTTAAAAAATTTCACTACATCATATTATATATATCTACACCATATTTATACTTGTTTAAAAAATTTCAGTAAGCCTGTTTAGCTTGTTAAGCTTGTTTAGAAAATTTCACTATATCATATTATATATCTCTACATCATATCTGAGCTTGTTTAAAAAATTTCACTACATCATATTATATATATCTACATCATGTTTATACTTGTTTAAAAAATTTCACTACATCATATTATACATCCCTCCATCATTATGCTTGTTTAAAAAATTTCACTACATCGTATCATGCATGTCTCCATCATTATACTTGTTTAAAAAATTTCACTACGTCACATCATACATGTCTCCATCATTATGCTTATTTAAAAAATTTCACTACGTCATATCATACATCTCTACATCATTAAGCTTGTTTAAAAAATTTCACTATATCATATTATATATATCTACATCATGTTTGTACTTGTTTAAAAAATTTCACAACATCATATTATACATCCCTCCATCCTTATGCTTGTTTAAAAAATTTCACTACGTCACATCATACATGTCTCCATCATTACGCTTGTTTAAAAAATTTCACTACGTCACATCATATATCTCTACATCATTAAGCTTGTTTAAAAAAATTCACCATATCACATGTATCTTACATTATGCTTAGAAAATACTCACCCTTCATTTGAGACTTGGAAATAGAAGGCGTCTTAGTGGACGAAATAGGAGCCGATCTCTTGGGGGATGCAGGCAGAGAGAAGAGTACGTTCGCGGATAGTCTGCTGGTCTCCGTGGACGAGGAAGCCGGGAAGAACTTGGAGCACGTGGCGGCGATCGTGGAACCGGTGGGTTCTGGTCGATCCCGTTGCAGTGACCACCGATGCTGTTGCTCCATCGCGGACGATACCGATGCTTCTGACTCCATGGCCACGAATGGCAGCGCCATCGACGTGGCTGTCATGGTAGACGTCGGCGTTGTCGGCGTTGTTGTCATCGTCATCGTTATCGTCGTGGCTGTCGACGTCCTCGGGGAACAGCTACTTGTCCCTTCCTGCTCCTCGTTGCTACCAACCGTCCCGCTACTCTGTCTCGTCTGCGAACAGTTTCAAGGTCACTTTTATTACCTTGTTCATAATCTTATATAACTTAGAATACACCTAATTCAGTGTTTGGTACGTTTTACCGGTTCTTGAAAAAATTTGATAGACCTCAAACTTAGACTTTTGAATGAAAGAATTCAGGTTTCCAACGAAAGAAGTCGAAGGAAAATAGGTCACGTTGTAGGGTTAGCCACAGGTGGCACCGCGGAGGACAAAGAAGCTGAGAATTATATTTACTCGTAAACAAAGAAATCCCCGTCGCGGTTGCTATAAAGCCTGATTTTGTAAGCTAGTTTGCCAACTCGCTAACTCGGTAATGCTACCGACCGAGAAAACGGACAAAGTTACCGTAACAGGAACAGGAAAAATATACAGTGTAATGATCTTGAAGCAGTTTCGTAGCTGGAAACTTAGAAACACGTCCCGCATCAGCGAGGCAAGTTTATCGGCTGCATGACTCAGGAGCCAACCACGAACGTGTTTTCGTGCTGCTCACGGTAATCGTCGATGAATCGATCGCGCGTCTTGATGGTTGACTTGACGTTCGAGTTCCTCTATTTAGAATAGACTGCTGACGGCGTTAAAATCGAATGCTGCTATGCTTGACAGGTACTGTGTGTCAATGATCATTCGAATGCAGGGTTTGGAACTAGGCTGGTGCTTTTAAAATATGGAGTATGGGGTGAACATATGGAGTTCAAGAAGAATGTTCATTTATGAAATAAGTATGATACAATGTTTGACTTTATAAAAATCTTGCTAAAGACTGGGACAAAGAATGAACTGGGGCGAGTTGTATTATTGCATATACATGCATGGTGACATATGTGGAGATAGCAAACATATGACATACATATGTATATGGCTGCATATGTGGAGATAGCAAACATATTATGGTGACATATGTGGAAATAGTAAACATATGACATACATATGTATATGGCCGTATGTATATGGCTGCATATGTGGAGATAGCAAACATACCATGGTGACATATGTGGAGATAGTAAACATATGACATACATATGTATATGGCCATATGTATATGGCTGCATATGTGGAGATAGCAAACATATCATGGTGACATATGTGGATATAGCAAACATATGACACACATATGTATATGGCCATATGTATATGACCATATGTATATGGCTGCATATGTGGAGATAGCAAACATATCATGGTGACATATGTGGATATAGCAAACATATGACACACATATGTATATGGCCATATGTATATGGCTGCAGCCATATGCATTACATCAAAATATATGTAATGAAGAAACGAATGAAAGTGATCTGCAATGATGATTTAAAAGCATCTGGTTTGCAGCATCAATTTAATATTGTTCAAACAGCTTGGAGCGACAACAGAAGTCGATTCAGCGTCACGTACAGACGATGATAAAGCTCGGAACAGACAACTGGCCAAATTGCTGCGTTTTTACAAGGGGAGCGAAAGGATCTGGTAGAAACGTATCAGCTTTAATCTGCCGTGGAGATCAGGATCACGTATCGCGAGGACCATAAATTCGGAGTTACTGCTTGAAAAGAAGCGTGTACCCTCCCTCATTGTCGTAATTTTCGCGTTCAAATATTTTGTTGGGCAACGAAGAAATTCGACCGGCGGCCAAAGGGGAATTACGTGAGAAATCAAAATGATGCGAACCGGGGGAAATACGGTCGATTTATCGAATTCTTCTCTACTGACTCCGATGACCCAGAACGAGAAACTATGTAGCCAGACTTTCTAGTTTAAAGGCAACCGAGAGAGAAAGTTAGGTGAATTTAATAATAAAAGGAACACGAGTTTCCCCGATAAAGGTCCTTCCTTCTTTTTTCTCCTCCCATTTATACCCTTCCCCTCTGATCAGAGCACAGTGGCAAAATCGAATTCTCGTTAACTCGTCACGCGTTGCTCGATCGGACCTGACACTTTTGTCCTCGGCGACGAATCCTCGGATCGTTCGCCGATTTAAATTACATTTCATCGCTGCCACCGGTTGAACAAAGCGACCGTAGCCTATTTCCGCGAACTCCATGCGAGATTTTGTCCCGACCAAAGAGTTCCCGTGGTTTCTCGTTTCGATGAACCGCGTCAAAAGGTATCTTCGATATCTGATTATCGAGCTCTCTGCGATGTTTTTCGTTAATCGCTTCATTTGCCGCTCTCCATTGTTTTCCATTTGCAGTTGGGACAAATTTAATCATTCTTTTTTCACGCTTTGATGTTTGCGAGTTATGCTTTGATCGAAGGAGATCCGATTAACTCCAATTATTTTGCGATACGTTCATTAACAAAACGTTGTTCTCACATGTATGTTCCACAGCTTTAAAGTATTCCAAGCATTTCACTTCGATGGAATTTGTTATTTTTAAAGCCGAATATTTGTGAGAAAATTCGATATATATCTGAGTTATCGTTCCATATTTTTCATAGCATCGATAAATAATTAATTGCTAATAATTAACGGATAAAGAGATTCTAAAACTGTTACCCATTTATAAACCTTTATCCCCTGCATCAAGATTGATCCGTATTCCCGATTGTAAATTTTGTTTCCCTCCAACGAAACGCTATCCGGTTCGACCCCCGAAAGACGCACTGGCCATTCGGCTAAGTTACGGTTCGTCTTCGAAGCAAATTTGTCTGCATCCGTATGGGAACTGCAAATGGAAACCGAGATAAGTGCGCCTCAGAAAATAAGGCACGTTAGTTTCAGCAATCTACCATGCAGATAATTCCATTAGAGCAGCCTCGAACCATCCACTTTCCAACGGACTAATGCAATAAAGCGAAACGAGGAGACACGCGTAATCGTTCGTCCGGTGTATCTTCAGATTCGCCGGAAATTGCATTGCCACCGACTTTCCGAAACACTGCTTCTCGTTTTCCTAATTAATGGACTTCTTGACACGTCGTTTTGGCACAAACGCTTAAAGTTCTATTGTTAACCTTTTCATTAGTGAAGAATTTTAGTTTACGAAACTGCTGCATCCCTACGATAGGGATGGATAGGGTTAGATTAGGATAGGCTTTAGAGAACTGTGGGAAAATAGGAAGAATTTTGAGATGGAAATTAAAGAGTCACCGTGAAGAAAGATAAGAAAAGTCTAAACAAAATTTTTGTGTATATAAAAAGAGAAATGGATATTTATCTAAAATTGTCATACTTATATGGATGATATTAAGTCTCATAAATTAAGAAACTCTTTCCTTCCGCCTCAAGAATTCAAACGACACATTTTTGCGGTTAATTAGTTCATCGGACAAAGTGGTACATACTGCACCGTTAAAAGTCTCCTTAACCCAGAGCACGCCGTTAATTCCTTCCTGAATGCTTCGAGTTTGAGAGAAAACTTCATTAGGGGCGACGACGACACTAATTGCTTTGCTTGATACTCGTCAACGAGGCAGGACAGGTGGAAGAGTGGCGAAGAGGACGTTGCGAAGGGTTGCGGCGATCGAAGCCACAGCTATTATCATTACTGGCAACTAAAAAGACTCGTGAAATTTTTTGCTGGATCGACTGGGTTACCCTGCATACTTGGAACAGTTGAAGCTGGATGCGCTACTTTAGTTTTGAGGACACACGTACAGTTGGGGAGCGTCAGTTTCTGATTTTGGGAATTTGGGTATTTTTCAGTTTCTAAATTTGTAGATTTCTGAGTTTGCAAGTTATAAAGTTATTATATTTCTTAATTCTCTAAGACACAAATTCTGCATCTTCAAATTATCATGTCTTAAATTTCTTACATAGCTAAATACCTATATCCCCAAATCGGTATGTACACAACTTCCTTCATACCAAAATCTTTTATATGCTCAAATCCGTATAGTAATTCCCTATGTTCTCGAAAACCTACATCCACCTATTCTACGTCTGTAGATTTCTACATTTTCAAATCCCTATATCTGCAAATTCGTATATCTCCAAATTCCTACATCCACATACTCCTACATCCACATACTCCTACATCCACATACTCCTACATCCACATACTCCTACATCCACATACTCCTACATCCACATATCTCTACGTTCACGTATCCCTACATCTCCCAATCCCCACATCTGCAAATTCGTACATCTCCACATCTCAACATCCCCAAATCCTTACATCCAAAAATGTGAAAAACCCTAAAATGTGATATCCACCTCATCATGCAGCGCGAAGGCCCACGAGCATTAAGGGAGCAATCGATCTACCCATCACTGTCGACCAGTATGTGCCGTAACAAACTCGTAGATTAATTGACTGGTCTTAAAATCGATCAGCCAACCGAACGAGCAATTCTGACTAAGACAGCGGGTAGTTAACAGTTGGGTAGACAATTATCGAAGGGGGCCTCGTAACGACCCGGCAACTCGGTGCACGAATCTTTCGAGGAATGCGGCGGATGATTAAAAGAACGCTTACTTTGAATACCGATGAAGTGGGCGTCGCGCGAAATGGAATGTCTGATGACACCGAGCGGCAAAGGCGTCGCTTAATTTTCTGGGTTAAGACGTTTTAATTAAAACGACCGCGATCGGGAACGACCGAATTTCGTTAAATCCCAGAACTCGGTTAACGCTGATTACGCGAAACGCTGTAATATTCCGATTAATCCGTGCGGTTAATTGGCCGCTTTCGGATCGGTGGCAACTGTAACTCGAACAATTCAACTTCCGGTGGTCGAAGTGTCGAGTAAATCAGCGGTGCAACAGCCAAAAACACGCTCGTTGGTCTCACGCGAAGGAAAGTAACATGACGGGAAACAACAAAGTGCCGGAGGAAGGTAATCGAGGGAAAAGGGAATTTATGAGAATCGGCTACGATAAAACGCAACACTCTATCACGCTGTCCCGCGTTTTGATCGAACGAGAAACGAGAAAAGTTGCACGGACTTTCGTGATTGCTTAACGATTTGCATGTACAGGGTGCATTTACACCGAGATAATGGCTTATAGATTCAAGAGGAAAATTTGCATAACCGACTTATT